CAAATGTGTGGAGAGCGGTTCTAGATCAGCCGAGATGACACGAGGCGGTGTGCAATTATCAGCGAAATCGCCTGGGTCTAAAAGTACAAAATCCAAGTAGAGTTGGATCCAATTAACCACCCCACCCCTATCCCCAAACCATCGTCCCAGCACCCTTGGACGGTGAACGGACAGGTGAACGAAATCTGTAAACGACCCCAAGAGGAATTTTCCATTAAGGCGTCCTAGACTGAAGAAGCAAGGACGAAAAAATCCGGGTTCATCATAAAGACGACCCCCCTATCGTATCGTAAATCTTAGTCATCCCCACTGATCAACAAACAGGAACACCAGACTGAACACCCAGCACTGATCACGTCACTAGTCAAATCTCACGGTTGGCCTGACGAAGCTTTTATGTCAAAAGCTGCCCAGAAATAAATCCACCGCTTGTTTACCAAACCCCTCTGAAACCATAAGAGTTTTCTTATCAAAGCTCATCAATGGTGCATATCCAATGGCATGTCAAAAGCTGCCCAGAAATAAATCCACCGCTTGTTTACCAAACCCCTCTGAAACCATAAGAGTTTTCTTATCAAAGCTCATCAATGGTGCATATCCAATGGCAACGACCGTTCAAACGAGAGTGGTGTGAATAGGAACAAATACCTGTCACAAAAAACCCAACATTTGAATTTATTAGGCACAAATAAACAGAACATGCAATACGCACTATAGAAGAGCCTGCTCATTTATTATATGACTGAAATCGCTGACTAGCTTTTTCTACGGGTCATCACAAGAGTCTCATTTCGATTGGGCATTCGGCCAACCTGAATTCCACTTTTTCAGGTCCATTTTAATAGACATTTGAAGACGATTAATGACTTCCGTGTGGTTTTCTGCTTCTGGATACTTGTAGCAGCAGGGATATGCAAACCTGACTTGAGTTTTTCCTCAGTGTCTGCTGAACACCTGTTCTCCTTGGTGTTGTTGTATCTACATCTAGCTATTCTGATCGTTTTCCCCCTGGATCTAGAGCATTCCAGCCAATGCGGGGCTGCTCATAGTTGTCTGTTCTTTTCGCTTACTGCAGACCACGTTCGCAATCTTTCCCCTTAACCACGCTTGTTTCCAATCAAAATGAGTGATCAGTCTCACTGCGTGGGAATCAACAACAAATAAATTTTGCCTAGAACTCCACAGACAATTCGCTGATGCTGTAACCCTAAACAGACTAGCCAGTGCTTGTTTCAGCGTGATTCATTGCTGAAACACCACAACAACAAAAAAGTGATGTCCATCCAAGTACTTTAACCCACTGCGTTCTGCATTCCGAATCTGCTGACGTCAGACGCCGTTAGTCCATACGAGCACATCGTGCGAAAAAGTTCACCTAGGTTTTGCGAATACACTTGTTTTACCAAACAGGCCATCATTAGTTGGATGTCGAGAGAAAGTTAGTGTGCCATTTGAGAGGCGAGAAATTCCCTTGTAAAAATTCCGTCCACTGCAGAATGTCGAAACTGGCTGTTGGCTGGCTACAACCTAGATCTAATTGTTCTTAAGAGATATAGAGAAGGCTTAGAGAGAACAATCCTCATTTGAGTTTTGCGCTGAATCATTTGCTTATTCAGGTCGCCCAAGCTTATTTCTACGGTGGATCTAGACAGATTTCATTCACAGCACTGCGTGTGTGCGCCAAAAATAAGGGTTTGACGCTCCAATACTTTGGTGACTACGCCTCTATTTGTAACTTATCGGTTTACTGCGGCTGGCTGCGGCATGGTTTTAAATCGAGAGTGCGGGCAGGTGGCACCACGAGTAGACACATTGCAAGGTTGGACTGATGGATTGAAAAGATAAGTCCCTGAAATCTTGAGAACAAGCGTCTGAATTGTCAGGGTTTTCACGAACCTTCCTTGATGGGGATCAATTTATAGAGTTGGCTGCCCAGATCCTAGCAAACATCTAGATTTTCAGGAATGACTGACTGGCCTATGGATATTTTTAAGCAAACTGCGTGAGGGATCAGTGCAGATGGGACCCGGGTCCACAAACTCTCAAAATCAACGCCTGATTTCGCTGACAAACACGTCACATCACAGTTTACTCGAATTCAAATTTAGAATTTTACAAAGTCACCATAGAATTTCTGCTCCGAATCCGACGCGGGAGATGATGCCCATGGAGATATTTCTGCGCTATTAAGAAATAGGTTCATCCAGGGGTAAGGCAGAAAGTTTCACAGTAACCCAGCGACCTTCGTAAACAAGCCTCACAATGTAGCCAGACATACGTTGATTCATGCTGTTCTATGTTCGCGTTTTGTGGCTTCGACATATTCTTCGCGTTTATCCATCAGTTCGGACTAGCTATTCGTCCTCACTGTATTGTTCTAACACAGAAACTCAGGTAAATCAAAGGAACATTCGTTTTTCATCATCTGATAGGATCCATTTCTTATCATACTCACCGTAAATTTTGCCTAGTCATCCCTCTAAGTCAGCATGTCAGACGTCCAACAAGAAGTTCACTTGCGATTTGATAATCCGCTGAGAAACAGAGATTGCTCAAGTGGTTTGTCTATTTTTGGTAAACAGAAACTAACTCAACACGGCCTCTAAAATTTGATGTCAATCGGGACGGTTACGTAGCATAACACACTAACTGATAATAGTTTGGGCTCTGTAGAAACGAATTATTTCACTCCCCGGTGATGACTGTCCTACTGAGCTTTCTGTTTTCATAGTAGGCGGCAAATTGATACTCATCATATCCTTGAATGTCGTTTAGGCCGTTTCTAACACCGAATAATTACTTTGCAGGGTTCAAACCATTCGTTAAAATATGCACTTTTATTCATGTATGCATTGATTTTTAACAGTTGAATGGGAATGGATCGCTTTTGAGAGTTACCCTTTTGGCTATTTACGAAATCATCAGTCGAAAAGATATCTGTGCTTCAACGTTAACGGAAGACCAGTAATGCTGGTAAGTTAATGACGCAGGTTCGTTTTTCCTAAGCAATATATAGGTCAGCTGTAAAGCTTGTAGAATCTCGCATGTTGATTGTTTGACTAGCCCTCGAATAACTTCACTGCTTGGAATGAGTTTCTCCGCTCCTGGGGTATTTCGCTCGCGGTGACTATCTACAGTTCGAAAAAAAAGAGGTCGCAATAATTATTTTTCCTTGAAGGTCGAACTTTAGTCGGAAGCTTTTTATAAAAATTATAGTGCCAACTGTAATTACAATCGGTACTATAGTAGCTAGTCTTACATTATTCATACTTGCATGTATTCACGTTTGTAGCGTCCACTTCACTCAAAATAGGCTATCTGTCACAGCATAACACATTCCTGAGAGCATTCATCTCCAGGATTCTCGTATACTTTCCCTTTTAGTCATCAACATAAGTGGCTGTTTTGAAGAAATCAATGTCTTTCTTAACTCACAATAATTAGTAATTTTTTGTGGTTTCACTGATGCTCAGATTACTGCTTTTTTCTTCACAGAAACAAATCCGCCACTTTTCCAAATGCCTTTTACGAATTAATGTCGCCCTGAAATCTGATCGGCCTCATCGGAAACTGGTGAATGACGAACAGAGGTCCCCACAGAACATGCAACAAGAAGTTGTGGGACGCTCTGGGGAGATTACTTGGGGAGTTGTTTCGAAACGGACTAATATACACCAAGCCTTGTTGTTGAAGGAAGAACAACCCCTTACCACTGGCACGTTACGTCAGTCAGAACGTACGTTAAACCTCCCTGAACGGACACATCCGCCGCAAATTTCTCTGCCGCAGTTCATGTGGCTGACCACGGCTAAGCACTTGCCTGAGTGGAAGCTTTTATTCTGTCCAAATGGGATGCCTTTTGCGCATTATCGGCCTCATCACAAGCGATGCAGGCACACTGATTTGAGTGGAAACTCCCAGCAGTTAATCATGTGTCCAAGGATTCCTTCGCGCTGCCGGTTGGCCTGTGCCCCCCACATTTTCAAACAGGAAATAAAGGCCGGTGAACTGCAATGCGACATGAAGTGTCTCCAGGCAATATCTTGCAGTCCAGTAGCAACATAACCGATTTCCACTTGTTTTATTTCCTCCTCCTGGAATACGTTCCTGCTCCGAGTATCGACAGTTGTAACACGGGTAAAAAGTTCATTGTGTCCAAGAAAATCCCAACGTATTCACGTTCGTAGGGTTATCCTTCCGTCTACCTCCACGCTTAAGCTTACAACGTTTAGTCAGAATCAGGTGTACAGACTGACGTTTCCACCAGTGGAGGTATGTCAGACCTATTGCACTCATTCCAAATTCAGATTTCCTGTCTTGGAACTGCAGTTGAGTATGGCGAATAATGTGTTCATACGGGGCAAGTGGTGCCCTTGCCACACAAGTTATCCCATCTAGTCCTTATAGGATTTTTAAAGTGTTTGCCAATATTTTGTATTTCCTTTTTGGACCGAGCTTCTCCAGACCAAATGTACGATTTTCCGTAACGTCTATCTTTTCATTGCGAATTAATAAATTAGTAGTCCATGTTGTTCCGGTCGTGCATTTTGAATTCGCATGATAGAAGGGAGAGCTCTAAATTCTGTGAGTTGTCTACTTACTTATCCGAGTGTGGACAAAAATGCACCACCCAAAAGCTTTGCCGCAAAGCTTTATTCAGAGTGGTGAGCGAGCCCCTCACCCATTCATTTTGTGCATTACCGACTCAAATAAACAACGATTACCAGCATTGTCCCTTGGGCAATCAGGAGTACCTCTCGATAGTACAGCGCAACAACTGAAAAAACCATTGTAATTTTCGCAATTCGATCCAACTCATGGAAGACGGATCACTGGAAAATATAACGAACGAGTGAATGTGAACTGAAAATCACTCTGTTTTGACCTTCTAGATGGTAAGATCTAACTTCAAACGGCAAAGTTAGTGTTAGCAACTAACTGTATACTACATTCGAAAAATGATCGCAGGACAGTGACAATGAGTATGCACATCCGAACGAGAAGTTCTGATGGACTAATCCAGGTTACTGCCTTCTTTTGCGCTATTACGCCCAACTACACTTTTAATTTTGAAGTCATATGGTACCAAGATTGGAACAGAAATCGACCCGCCCGCTCTACCAAGACTGCAAACTTCATTAACTGACTCTCTGAGCGATGGGACGTTTAGAGTTCAGATATCTGATTACTTTGACTGGCCTAATTAATTGCAGCTCCATAGCACGACTTGGGAAACACGGGAACTTGAGTCAGAACGATCGGCTTCAGATTATGTGGACATGCTTTGAAACCATAGCCATTCGAATTTACAAGTTATCTAGTATGCCACATAATAGAGGGCGAGTAGTAAATGACCAAGTATAGGCTCAAACCTCTGTAGAGACATGCAGACCGTTTTCGTGATGTTTGGCAAACGGTGTGTATCTGCCTCTTGCTAATGAGGGCACCACCAGATCAGTCGGACACCTAAAGGAAGGGATCATACGAATTGATATGTATATTCACTACTGGAGACTGGGCCACTGCAAATAGTTCTACTTTGGAAAAGTGTAGAATCCTATCATTCCACACTTCCATAAACTTCACTCGTTGAATAAACCTTCCAGTGAAACAGTTGGAAACGGTTGATATCATCCTTAACAAACAATAATTGGCCTGTCGGAGCAGCCAGAATTGGCACTCCTCTCTAACAACGACGGTTTGAGAGGTGCTTCAAAGCCCATCAACAGTTGAATAGCATCGTTGGCGTGCGTTAGTCACCGAAACCAGCCGGACTCAAGTAAAATATTATAAGCTCGGTTCACTCTTATGTATCCAGTCCGTCACGCTAATGATGGTTCGTCCCGTTGATGAACTTAATGGAGAACAGTAGGATAGTGTATCCTGTTCTCATATTAAAGGGGCTAAGGTAGGCGACGAGTTGCACGGCTGCTAAGCATTTTCGCTCAAAGTGTTGCCGGCCAAGCCGCATTTGTTGTGCATATCTTCGAGGGCTTTTGTAATTCATTTATTTTCAAGGACCTGCCTGAAACAATGATGATTCAGAACAGTAGTCATTCAATTTGCGCATACAAATTATTGATCTACCATCCTGAACATTTGACCAGCTCATTAAAATCTCAAACCACATCCGACTTTTGACTCAGCTGAGATCTTACCTGAGAAGAGTTGTTTTAGAGATAACATACTATTTGATCTTCCACAGTTTCCCTCAACAATCAAGGACAATAGTATCGGTGCAGATAAAATTCAGCTAACGACATTCAGCGATGGAGGGAAAAGGCGCTACTCTGGAGGTTCTGTACTAGTTCGTGAATTTCAAGTGCATATGAGGGTGGAGTGTTTGTAGTGGACGGTTTTTCCAAGCCCTTGCGGGCTTCGTTCAGAAGAGGAATCCTTGTGGTTACGAGACAATCTGTATAAAGAACTTGAGGATTTTTTTGTGTCAGCAGGCATATTCCATCAAGACTTACAGCTAAAAACAATGTCTTGCCCAAAATTCGAAACCGCGGCATAGGTGAACACCATGCATCACGTTTTCGGAGCGATTATTGTACCACATAGTCGTTCGCTTCTTAGGCTTCTTGGTTTGGTATCACAGTGCCTGTTAGACTTTCAGCCCATTCATATTTGGGTAATACCCATGAAACCAACACCAGTTCCAAGGCTGGACGATATGGATTCGGAATCTAGCTAACCGGTGGCAGTTTAGTTGCGTATCCAGACCACCCAAACGACCTCGAGTATTCCGCCCATTTCAAATGTTATTCAAGAAGTCTGGAGCGATTTCTTACCCCCATTTTCGGCTAATCCTAACATTCAGTGATGTTGCCCCCGGGATTTCGCGGAATGCGAACTCACATTACTCTTGTTTTCACGACCGTCTTCATGTCCTGGTTCATTCATCCTTGTGAGAGACTCAAGTTTCGCTCACATTGGAACTCATCAGCAGTGCATATTTTTGGCCCTCCGGGGTCGTGTGACGGGTTCATGCCAACAGTCACGTTTGTGTATTCTGCAATGAAATGTGTTCAGTAGGCCTCAAACGTCTGTGGCAGTACTTGACTTGGAGGTTTCGACTGACGAACCAATCGATCGACTCGAACAAATTACCTTACTGGTCGTCGTTTGGGTCATCGGCGCTCAATTCAGGCTCGAATATGTTCACCTGTTCAGGTGCGAAATCAAGATACTTTCAGTGAGCGGTGGTGGAGTGTGGGTAACATCCTCGACTGAAGTGTCCGATGTGCGGAGTTCGAACCACTGCACTACCGAAGATATGTACTGCTGACGAGCCCTAATGAGAGCGAAGTTCGAGTCCAGTGCTCATCCTTTTAGTGGATACAGAATGTGCAAGCCAGGACAGGAGCATGATTGTTAAATCTGATGTTGTTCCGTTACTACTATATCAGGTGTGCATGCTCTATTCAGAATAGTTTCGAAGCATCAGACGCTGTTGTCATTCGTCTGCCCAATCAAATCCGATAAAATTTCTAGATATTGTGTGCGCATGTTCCAGCAGATGAGTGAATGCTGCGACATTTTGACTGTAATAACCCAAGAACCTTAGAAAACCCTCAAAGTTTTTAGTGAACTGGGTTTGGGGAAAACCTATAAGACATTCAAACGGTTGGGAGCCAATTTTTCCCCGCCCGACAAACCCTGCTCCAGTTACTTAACCTCAGGTTCCAGCTTAGGCTCCAGCATAATGGAGCGTCCGACCCAAATTCTAATTTGTTCAGTAGAGACTCTGTGAGATCCGGGCGGTTACGGATCTCACAGGGCGATTGCGGCTATTTGATTATACGCAGTTCGTAGCCAGTAGTCAATAGGAGCAGACAGACGTGGGGCAGTAGATGACATATTGAGGACTGACATGAACTGGTTCTACAGACCAACGGATTAGTAAGCATCGCGAATTAAGCAAACGTACAATCAACAATGACGC